GCTCCAATGAAACTCTTGTTTCAGTCAGAAGTTCGCTAGTAATGAAGGTAGATAGATATAGATGCACGCTATGTGCTAACAACTAAATAAGTAAATAAAAGTAGTAATGTAGATGTATTTTAGGCCACGAAGGTGGTGCTGCAATCTACGAGTGGAAAGTTGACTCCCTGGAAGAGTCGCTTTTAACAGAGTTTGTGCCTGCTCGTAAAGAACTGCTACGTGTGGAAAACTGTGATCCTGATCTCGATGACTTGGAACGTTCAATGCTGAAGCTCCTTGAAGAATTCCGGAGTGGCCAAATGCGATCGCTTACTGATGAGCAAATGGAGAGCATGCGAACAATGAAGAAAGAGCATGAAGATGTCACAAATCTTCACCTAGCGCTTTATAACCTCGACAAAGTGCGAGCGAGAAAAAGTGAAGAGTTGGACGTCTATGTAACGATAAATTCTCCCCAACCAGTTCAAGCTACTGCTAGCTAGCAACCAGTTCAAGGTACTTGGGCGAAAATGGGTACACATCGCGCTGAGAAAACTTTTTTTTAATTTTTCGCCCTCAAAACACCACCTAACACACAACCTGCGCAAAACATTGACTACGATGAAAGAATACTTCGCGTCGCTTTTATGCTCTTGTTTGCTGCGAATGATGGAACGTGTTGGAGCTGCTCCTTGGCGTGACGCCAACCCTTTTTCCTTTGACTTTCAGTAAGCGACAAGACTGTACAGTCGCCAGTCGCAGTAATACAGTCGCCGGTTGTTGCCACTTATCTGCTTCAACAACTGCTACAGAATAGGTGCAGCGGCGAGGCAACCGCAACACACCCACCTCATATGCAGCGAACCAGACTGCACATACCGTTCAAAGGACTTCGCTCATAGGGCAAATCTCGAGCATTACATGTCACACCTCTTTCCGTATATAGGACTGAGATAATTTTTCGATTTCGTTGAAACAAAAGAGATTAGTGAGATCGCACCCCAACACAGAAACAGTTCTCATTTCCGGGACGGAGTAGGCGTAATTTGAACATGGCATAGGGTGGCTTGCTCGTGGGATATTACTATTTGAGGTTAACTGTAAGCTAGATGCGTGCTGGACAGAGAGATAATTACAACTGTTCCGAAATCAAAATATACTGCGAAAAGTTCAGCCGCTGTCTTATTAATCCAAGTACGCAGCCACGCCTACCGCATTTCACGGTTTTTGAGTGCGTATGCTTGCCTTTCGGCTTTAGAGAGTCTTTACAGCCAGAATTTGGTGTCACGAGATCATCATAACAATAAGCGAAGCGATACCCTGCTAGCTAATAAAACTGTACACCGAGCAAGCAGAGCGAATGCCGAGACTTAAATTGCGTATGGGCAAAGACTATCTGCGACTGAACCCATCAAAGATGTCCGAGGGATTGAATGATCCCTGTAGTCAATTAAACGAAAGAAGTTCCCGTGGCTTCAGTTATTTTAGGCGAGAACTCGACACTATGAACGAACTGCAATCATAAGCAAGAGCATCTTGGGGAGCATTCAGAAAGTATCGAAATACAATAAAAAAAACAAAAAAAGCAGATCCAAACATGGAATTTATAGGAAAGAAAGGACCTTTGGGAAAACTTGTCACGTTTAGTGATCAGAGAGAGTGAATCGCGGAGTATGAACGCACGCTGATCAATGGAAGCAGAGATATCCGAGCAAGCTATCCAAGAGTGTTACCTTGATCTCAATGTACGACGTGGAACGCCTGACCGTGTTTTTGTTATGTCAGCATTCAGGAGTGCTCAACAGACAAGCACATTTCAAGGGCACCTAACAGTTGCCAACATATCATATATGTGGAGGGAATATATAGCCTTAAGCTTAGATCCTACAAAACATAAAATTGGATTGCGACAGTGAAGCGACAGTATGTTGTGGGCCCAAACAGGCCCACTTCATCACCATATACTGGGCATGAAGATGACTAAAAGCAGAAAAAACATCCCCGTGCAACTATCTCTTAATAATGATAAGTTTCCAGAATAGACTTAATTGGAAGGGTAAGGCTGCGTTCATACCGTGCGACGGCGTCAACGTCGACGTAACCGACGTAACCAACGTTTCCGACGACCAGTTCGCGAAGATTACATACGTATCGATCCCGTAAGGCCGCGTTCATACATGATGCAGAAATGCAGAACCACGGAATGTGCAGAACTGCGGAATTTGCAGACCTGCGGAATTGGGAGAACCGCGGAACTTGCAGAAAAAGAAAATATGTCTATCGATTTCAAAAACCGTGGAATATGCAGAAGTGCGGAATTTGCCAAAGTGCGGAATCTGCAGAATCTGCAGATTCTGCATTTCTCCCAATTCCGCACGACGGCAGGGAAGAACCAATCGATCCCTATCATTCCCCGTCATTTCTGCATGTCGGCAAATTCCGCGGAATTTGAAGAAATGCAGTTTTCAGATCGATACGTATATATTTCCTTTCTGCAAATTCCGCAGTTCTGCATATTCCGCATTTCTGCATCATGTATGAACGCGGCCTAAGTGACGAAAGCTGCGTAACCGACGTTTTCGACGACTAGAGATTAGATACGTATCGATCCACCTGTCGACGTAATCGACGTAATCGACGACAGAAAGGTCAGATACGTATCGACTGGCGGCGAAAACCGCCGAAAGCGACGTAACCGACGTAAGTGTCGGTTACGCCACTTACGTCGGTTACGTCGCTTTCGTCGGTTTCGTCCGTTACGTCGGATCGATACATATATAATCTTCGCGAACTAGTCGTCGAAAACGTCGGTTACGTCGACGTTGACGACTACGTCGCACGGTATGAACGCAGCCTAACATCTAGTCTAGTTGTCACTGAATGTACAGTTGTGCCGAGAACAGTGCATACAGTCTTGTTCGCTGCGGATGAAGAGGTGTGTGAGGCGAGATGGTTTTGGCGCGGCGCCGAACCTGTTTCCCATAAGTTGTTGAGGCGAGCGCGCGATAGAATTGTGCCACATTGTTCGTGTCAGTCGTTTTCCACCAACTGTTGTACCTTATCCGCTTCAAAAGCTGGTGGAGGATGGGTTTGGCGCCGCGCTAAACCTATCCCCTTGACATGCCCCTACATCCCCTAATACAACGCATTCAACCTCTGGGGAATACAAACCCGTCTCACCACTCTTGTGAACCGCGAAGCCTCGCTTCTCCTTCCTTTTTTTCCCCTTGATTCTTTCCTCCCTTCCATCTCCACCGCCTCTCTTCCTTTTCCTTCTCCTTTCAAATGTTCGAGAAATAGAGGGGGTGGGAAAACACCTCTGGACAATTCCCTCCCAGAGAGAAAAGGTTGGCAGAAGCCCTGTAACCCTACAAAACATGCTATGCCCAGCCACATACATTTTTCCGTCACAGTATGCCAGTTTTTCGCTTACTACCTTGGAATGGATCAGTGCTCCAGCATAAAATGGTAAAAATATTGAAAAAAAAACAGAAATTGTTTACGCAAAAAAGAAAATCGCGCGTAAAAAGAAACTCACCAATTTCTAAAGCTGTTCGGAAACCATCCATCCCCATATGCTTCATTTCGTACCAGTTTTCGTCGTTATCAGGTAAAGGCAGCTTATCTGGTCGATGAAGAGCTTCCTCTTCGGATATTGCAGTTTTCTGCTTATCTTCTTTTTTATCCTCCGATCTTGTGAAACGATGAAGAAAGTTGGAAAATGACGTAGAAGTCTCTCTTCGTTTGGTTTTGTGTTCATCGAGGGACTTTCTGCTCCACTTTTTCTCCCGCTCACGTTCATTTTCTTCATAATCGTTCTCTACTGGTGGCACTGAAGCTGTCATTGGGCTGGAAAACGAGAGTAGCCCTTCAGGGTTTGTTGGCTCTTCTTGTATCGGAATTCGTGTTTCGCTTCCGGGTGACCGGCTCGTTTCCTTTGCCATAGCTGACTAAAGACTAAAATTCTAGAAAAGGTTGCCAATAGCAAGCAAACATGTGTTACGGCGAGCAAGATGCCACAACAATATAGACAGCGACCGCCACTTCCGAAGAGAGAACACGCAGATTAAACGACTTTAAATAGCAAGGCTTAAGTGTAAGGGGCAAGAGGTATGATTAGAAAAAATATTGAAGGCAATAGATCGGAAAAATTGTTTACTGTACTTGTTAGATGTCGTAGAAACGCCACGTACGCTACCATTCATTGTACGCCTAGGCAACTTAAAAACAGCGAAATGTTCAGGACGTGCACTGCGGGTGGTAGGATACCTCATTCTTCCGAAAGTTTTATCTGTACGTTCTAGCATGATAGACACATCTGAACTGTTACTTTCTTTGGACCACGTGAAGTACAGGAAGTCCGGAGATGGACGTTCACCAATTGGACGGCTGCTGCTTTACAAGTACATTATCTTTTTCTTGTTTATGTTTAGTTTAATATGATAGTTTGGGTAGATTTAACATTTTTGAGACCTTGTGGCAAGAAGTTCATTCGCAATTCTGGGATTTCTTGTTACTGGTAGTTGGGCCCGTACAGCACTAGCCGAATGTTCTTCAAGAAAACTTACTTTCAGGGAACACGTTGAATGGAGAGATAATGCTGGACCGGAAGTCCTGTATGTGAAGTTCATGCAAATTAAAGGTTGCTTATTCCGTTATTTCGAAGAAGTAGCATGATGAACTAGGCGGTTCCTTTCTCAGGCCAGCGTGTTTCTCCGCCCAACAAGTCGAAGGTTCAGTTGCAGTTGGTGCTTCAAAATGATGACCAAGCAACGTTTGTCTTCTTGAATCCTGCACTTGACAAAGATGGTTTGATCAAAGAACGGGATCTTCTCAAAGAAACACTTCAACAGTCTCTCATTGCACATCGTCAACGGGTCAACCAGGTTTGTTTGTCAAGCATTTAACTTTTTTGTTTCCTATTCAATCGGTTGTTTCCTTTTTGTGTCAGGAACGTTAATACGCATTTCTCAAAATTTTTCTGAGGCTACTGTTCAACAGCTTCAGAGGTTGAAACGAGCAAAATATGCCTTAGTTCTAGAGGGGCGTGTCACGCGATATGAGTGTGCCATGGCATCATACTCGTTCTCTGCCAGTTGATGAAGGCTGGTATGCGGCAACCGTTGGTAGGAAACGAGTATGCAAACGATATGATACAGTCTTCTCACTTGCTCGCTTCAGGAACTGGTGGAGAACAGTTTGCACCGCGCCAAACCCATCCCGTCTGACACTCCCCCCTTCGTCGCAGCGAACCACACTATGTAGTGAAGTTTGGATAAGGTGTAACTGAGCCCCTGATAATTTTTACCGTTTTCGTTGTGTCTTGGGATATATTTATTTGTTTCTAAGCCTTTCCTGTCGTTTCTACATTCTCCTTTCTAAATGCGACTGTTCCGTCATTCTCATAAGCCTCAGTGCTTCCATGGTTTTGTTGTTTGGATTTTTTCGTTTGCCGGTGACCACATTTTACCCTGCTCCGTTCCGTTATATTCGCGACTGTCCTGCAGTCCCGTACTGGTACGCGAGTGTGACGTACAGGTCAACACTTTCACACTCCCAGACAAATCTGGTACCAATTAACCGATCACTCAGTGACGGAAGACTGTCATGCAATTTGCCTGAGTATTTACACGACATATCTTTTCGTCAACTCCTTCCCTATGTCGTTCTTAATTCGTCGTCTCTGGTACGAATTACCGGGGTTTAGCAACTCAACTGTTTTTATCGCTTTTGAGTTTTCGTCGCAAGGGCCGTAAAAAACAGAATGCGAGGAACTTCTCCTAAAGGGAAGACATGTGTGGGGAAAATTCCGAGTTGAGGTTTTGTGATTTGTGCGATTGTGAGGTCTTGGTCAAATCAAAGGACAGATCAAATCATTACTCTTCTGTAGTAATTTTTTCATCCATTCTCTCTTTTTTAAATGGTTGACTCAGGAATTGGTTAAGCAATTTCATTCCCAGTCCTTCGTGGTAAGTGGCGCTTCTTGAAGCTACACCACATCAGCCACTCATTCATTAATCAAATATACTGGGGTTTAGCGACTCAGCTGTTTATTATCGCTTCTGAATTTTCTTCGCAAGAGCCGTAAAAAACAGGATGCGATTCCTCTATAGTAAAGGGAAGACATGTGTGGGGAAAATTCCGAGTTGAGGTGAGTTTGTGATTTGTGTGATTGTGAGGTCAGGGTCAATATCAAAGGACAGATCAAATCATTACTCTTCTGTAGTAATTTTTTCATCCTTCTCTCTTTTTTCAATGGTTGACTCAGGAATTGGTTGTACAATTTCATTCCCAGTCCTTCATGGTAAGTGGCGTTTCTTAAACCTACACCACATCAGCCACTCATTAATTAAATATAATCAATGGTTTGCTGGCTTCGCTTCCATCATGCTCTCGTTACGTTTTATGCGATGTTGCTTTATTTGGTTTTATATGTTACCTTTACAGCTACAATCTTTTTATAGAACCTTATTTGAGTGAAAAGGGCGACTGAGTGAACCAAAGAGATCATTCAATTTCCGTTTGTTCGTGACCTCGGAAGAAGGCAATAAATTCAACATCCCACTCACTGCTAAAATCATTTATTATGTTTTCCAGTTAGCTGCAACCAACGAGCATGATATCAAGCAGACAGAACTTCGAGAGAAACAGCGAATTCTCGGTGAAAACAAACAGCTTGATCAGCTGTATACCCACCTGGTGGCTTCCAAATTAATAAGCGCTCAGGATTTCTGGACTGATTATTACAGCTCGGTAAGGCTTTCAATAGACTATTCCGCCTAGACCGTTCTGCGATCCCAATTACTCTCTCTGGACTATCATTTTCTTTTTTCAGAGTGGCACGGTTGAAGACAAAACAGGAATAAGCGGTGCGTTCCTTACCAACATTGTACAGCAAGAAGGAACAAACGGCATAAAGTTGAATTTGAATACTGAAATAATTCAAGCAGTGTTTAACACATATCCAGCAGGTTAGTCTGAATCCTGTTTCTGTAACTGAGCAGTTGTCAGCGTGCTGTTGCAGTTGAGAAGAAACATCTCGAGCTTGTCCCCCATGAAATGACTGAATCGCAGTTTTGGACGAAGTTTTTCCAATCGCACTACTTTCACCGAGAAAGAGAGGTAATTTCTTTATGTGACACATGCTAATCTAATTTTTTCATTCTCATGTCTCCTTGAATTTGTTTTCAAGGTTTTGCCTAATCCTAATGACCCGTTCTCTGATTGCGTTAGGATGGATGAGGCTGAAATGGAAAGGTTACATGGCGATGGTGTGCAACGTAAACGATTTGACCTGGAACACCTGGATGATAATGTTATCAGAGAGTTGACGGTAATTGCTAATGGTATGTTGTTTCCAGTGGACTTAATATAGGAAACTCCTTCAGAAACCGGAGGCCGCTAAGCCAACAGCGAAGACTACTCTTGTAAGGCGTTGTAATTACTTGTCAGAAAAGATACTTTCTGCGTTGAAACCATCCACTTCTACATCGGATGAGGGTAGCTCCCCGTCAAAGCTCTCCGGATTTGGCGTTTTAAATGTGAGACATTTCGATATTTTCATTCTATTTGCAAACTAGCCTTGCCCCATTTTTCTAGTGGTGTTCAGGTTGATCTAAACTATTAACAAAGTGTTTAGAGGATAATCGAAGAAGAAGAAGGTAGATTGGAGTCAAGTGAACTTATGGATCAAATCGGCCAACAAGAGTGCCTGAACCTTAGTATCAAGGCTGATAGCGAGAGCGTCAATGTTAGTTTTTTTTTCTGCTCTTCTTGCTTTTGCCTACAGCTTTTGCAGCTGTTTTTTTTTCGTGGTGTAGTGCTTTCAGTACACTTCTTGTTATTGCGCTTTTTTATAAACATATCAAAAGAGGTCAAATTTTTCGCCGTGGCATATTTAACGCCATATGACCTACAAAATGTCTTGCGAGGGCGAGCTGATGTACAGGTCGGAGTACTTGTCCTCGCAGATAAGTCTGATCCAAGTCAGACTGTGTTTATACTTCTCGTCAACGTTTGGAGCGTTCAAAAAGGTATAGGTATCGACCTGTCTTCAGCGAACGCCAGCGTTTTGAGCATAGTTCTGAACTTCTCGCGAGCAGTCGTTGAAAACGCTGGTGTGCGCTAAAAACGCTAGCTCCACATCTGTACTTCCTTATTCGCTCAAAAAGCTGGCGAAGAGTATGAACACAGAAAACTTGGTTGGGCTAGGCGAAATGTAGTCCGGGGTTTGATCCCCGGATCCATACCTCTTGCTACTTAACGACCTTTTCAAAAAAATGCACTTATCTCTGGCAGGCCTCTCTTCTTTATTGATTGTGATCTCACAGTTTCTAGTGCGTACGGGTCTCTTCCGCCTGCACTCCTGTGCTGAACCTGTTCAGTCATTCGAAGCCGCAGTGTACGATTACTCGGTAGATAGACGACCTCCTTCGCATAAGGTGTGGTCCCCTGCTGACTGTGCCACCTGAGATGTCCGCTTCCGACATCTGAACGTGTGTGAGTAGAGTGCTAGGGGCTTGTGACGTGCGGAAAACTCCTGGCTCGGCATGAAGTTTACGCCTTCCTGTAATAAGCTACAATGGTCAGGAGCAGATACGCAGATATCGTGATATCACCAACATTTAGTAGCTCATCCGGACACGCACTTTCTTCGTCTGTTCGCTTGTTCATTGCTCGAAACTGGAAGCCTTATTTATGCTCTTCTTTCATATTTAAGACTTCTGATTTTGTTTGAATGTTGATACTGTATTTGATGTGCAGGGTATGCTTCATGGACTTATTTCAGCGAAGACTTTCTCCCGAAGAAGCTGCCAATTTCAAAGATATTGTGCTGACACTGCTGGAAAGTTCTTCAGACGAGGTGAGCCTTTAAATCATAATTAGAGTGATGGCAGAAGTTGTATGAAGAAAGTTTATGTCCTAATGATTTCAGGATATATTGCTTCCTGAAGATGAAGACTTAATTAACTTTGAGGGCATGGACTGTGATATGGTGAGGATTTGGAAATCTTGGTCCGGTTTATATTGTATGAAGGCTTGATAACGTATTTCAGAATGGAACCGACCACGATGGCGCTGAAAAAGGGTGTGGTGATCCATCAGAATGGGGATTATCACCTGCTCAACTTAATGAATTACGAGCTATTCATGACGCAGTGGCTGAACTCCTCAAACATTTCTGGATGTGCTTTCCACCAGTGACTCCTGAATTGGAGGAGAAGGTAAGGTGGTCATTAGAATAGCATATTCACTGAGACTGTATTATTCTGCGTTCGTACTTTGCGTCAGCGACTAGAGAAATATAGGTATCTATCAGCATATGACAGGGCGATAGCGCCAGTGCATGAAGGGTTTTGAGCGTTGTGCGGGCAGTTTCGAGCCTTTCTGGGCAGTCGCTGAAAACGCTAGCATAGATCAGTGTACGGCAAAACCTAAATCGATACCCATGCTTTCTAAGTCGCTGGAAACGCTGCAGTACGCTGGCGTGCGTCAGATCGTACCTGTATTTTTCTAGTCGCTCAAAACGCTGACGCAGAGTATGAACGGAGCCTAAGGCTAATCAGAGAATACGGAAGACCAATTCCAGCTGCGGCGAATGGTGCAAACCCTCCATACTTACGAAAACAATCAACTACGAGATGCAGAGCGTCAGTTTGGGAAGCAGAATGTCGGTTTTTCCTTGAAAGATTTCAAGAAACCTTCTTTCGAATGTGTTCTGCGCTTTTTTATTTATCATATGAGAGAGTGATATTTAGGTTCAACACTGCTACGGTATGCTTGCGCGTGCCTATGCGCGTTACAAGGTATATACGCAAAGAAAGTCTGCTCGTGGTCAAGTAGATGTTGCGATTGTTTCATTACCGGTGTTCTAAATCTTGTTTACGAGAGATCTCCATGGTTTTACTGTTACTGTTTCTTTTTCATCAAATAGGTTTTAGAGATCAATAAATTTTTAAAGGCATTTTATACGTAGTTTATTGTGTGCCAGAGTCATCCCCTGACTATTTCTGCTAATTTTTTCGCTCGCATTAAAGAAAGCCCTCTGTAGGCCCTGCTCGATATCCATTGTTCAGTATATGGTTCGATGAGGCGAATATTCACAGCTGCCAAGCTTTCGCAAAATTGCCTTAGATTAGCAGTGTGTCTTACGAAGAGTCCAGGTGTTCGATGGTTATCAAGTCTGAGCCGTCCTGACTTGGATTTCGACCTTCTATTGGATGATGCCAAATTGGACGAAATTAAGAGGAATATTGTGTAAGCCTTCAGCTTCTACTAGTTGGTTTTTACTCGAGTCTTCTTTTTCTTGGAGATGAAAGATCTAACAAGGGAATGGTTTGAACTTCCCATGGAACTTTGAATGGAGACCTAGGTACATCGATAGAGCCTCGAATGCTGATTACGAATATGCAGATTAAAAGTGCTACGGGGACCTCCCAGACGAGATCTGGGTGGTCAAAGTTTGAGTTCTGGCTCGTAAGCGCTGCTGATCGATGCCTCGGCAGTGCCACCGTGGCCTCGTGGTAATGGTCTCGCTTTCAAGTCAAACGCATGCGGGTTTGCATCCGGTTGGCGCAAAAATTTTTGCTCCCCATAAGAGCTTTTACTCTAATTTTCGAAATTCTTCCCGGTTTGCGGTCCAGCAGGGCAAGTAGATATAGTATATGAAGTATGACGTACTTGATCTAGTATGGATTTGCTATACATATTTGATATCATGTCCTTTGACTAAAAAACGCTCGTCTGGCCAAACTGTGATTCTGGGCATAACTTTAAATTGGTAATAGTTCAGAGAGGGCAAACATGAGCAAGTCCATACTCGATCAAGTACGTGGGGCGAAGCAAAAATTTTCGCGCAACAAAATGCAAACTTGACTGATTTTGAATTTGACTTGAAAGCGAGACCGTTACCACAAGGCCACGGTGGCACTGCCGAGTGATTGATCAGCAGCGCTTACGAGCCAAAACTGACTTTTCGCAAAGATTTGACCACCAGGTCCCCGTAGCACTTTTAATCTGCATATTCGTAATCAGCATTCGAGGCTCTATCGATGTACCTAGGTCTCCATTCAAAGTTCCATGGGAAGTTCAAACCATTCCCTCGTATGTCAGTGGAAATATATAGTGCTGAGGAGGGGCTATACACAATGCACCCCTCCCCCCTGCCATGAAAGCAACCGCAAATTGTGCCTTTTCTGGTGTCCTTTCCGCCAAGTGACTTAGGCTGCGTTCATACTTTGCTTCAGCGTACGCAGCATACACAACCAGGGCAGTTCATATCGTTGTAGCGGCCGCCAGTGACTGAGAAAGTATGGATATCGGTCTAGCAAGCCGAAGTGTATTCGTGGGCAATTTGAGCTGGAGCAAGAGTGCCTGCGAAAACGTTGCTGTACGCAGGCGTGAGCCAGATCGATACCTATAGCGTTCGAAGCGCTGCCGTAAGCTGGCCTACGCTGACGCAAATGTGAACGCGGCCTTAGTGGCTGGAGTTGTTCTATTACCATGACTGCTATTTCCCGCCGGACTTCGGGTTTAACCCTTCCTTGACTCTATCAGCTTCACGGCTTTTATGCCATGGCTTTGCAGCACTGACAAATTTACATGGTGAGCTGGTGAGCCATATCGTTTGTTATCGGCTGTGAGCCGCGAAGCCGATGAATTCACAAAAGGTTGGAGTTGTTTATTAAAGTGAAAGCTTCTGAAAATCTCATGCTGTAGGGCTACGGCATGAAGGCTGTCAAACTGAGAGGGTAAGAGGCGGCCTGGTACCGCAACAGGTAGTGAACTTGCCCTAGAGGTGTGATGTACGGGTACGAATACCGTCTGGGATCGTGATTTTGCCCATAACTCATGGTCAGCATTCTTGCGATAACTCTAACCGATGTGTTTGTCACAGTTTTTACACCTAAAACCAAGTTTAACCAGATATAGAAGCAAGTACGCCAGATTTCGTCGGACAAGCGGAACCTCCCGGTATAGTTATCGGTGATTCCACACTGCCTTGTCACGCGTTAGCTCCACCCGCCCTTATGTGAGCAGTCCAAAAGTAGCTACTTTGATGACGTAAATGGGAAAACAATTTCTACCGTCTGCATAACTGTTTTAGTTTTGATAACTGCTGTTTAACGCCGCAGTGCGCGCTCAAGTTATCACAAGAATGCTGAGATATTGGCAAAAGTCGGACCCGGGACGGGACTTGAACCCGCATCTCCCGCTTACCGGGCGGTTGCGTTATCCATTACGCTACCGGGGCCTTCCTTTGCCTTCTCAGCCGTTTGCATGACAATGGCTAATTGCAGCAAGGAGCATTAGGCTTTTGAAAGGAACACTCGCTTGTAAATGTGTACTCGAATCCACAAAAATTCAAGAAGTATAAGGCTTAGCGGGAAAGTTCTGTCACTTTTTCGAACTCAAAATACTTGCCCATTACCTGAAGAGGGGTAACCGGTAATGTGAGCACTTATACATCAAGGAGTGGTCTTTCTATTAGTACCACTCGCTTGACTCCTGCTTCTTCTTCTTCTGTAATATGGACAAGGATTTTATCCGCTACCATCGGCACCGAGCGCTTCCTCAAACTCTTTCTTCCACCATACTGATGTCAGCATGACAGCTGCAGGGGCCAAAATAAAGGAGCTGTATGAGACAATGCCCTCAATTATCGGACAACCTTCCACGACGCTAATGCTTCAAAGCGGGAGCCTACAGTTCTGCTGACAGTTAGGTTTGGGTGTGCATGTGAACTCAGCTTGAGGGAGCTGTGGGTCGTGAAACTGCTGGATGAAGAAGCTGCTTTCTTGGTCAATCCGTACGCAAAGCAGCTACGAGATCTGAGGCGAATCGTCGATCAGAGGGAAAAATTTGTCCGCACAGTCCGCCTTCAACATGATAGTGCAGCCCACTCCTGTCCAAAAAAGGTCGAGCCGAACCTCATGCAATAGAGCTGGATGGCTCTCCCCTTGCAGTGGTGTAGCCCAGACATTGCTCCTTCTAACTGCTAGTTGCCTCCCGTATTAACCGTTACATGGACGAAAGAACTCGACCCGGGCCCACGTCAATGCTAATGTAAGATGATGTCCAACTTTGCGTCGCGCAGGCCTGCATTGTGCAGCGATGGCATCCATGAGGTGCTCAAAAACTGGCAAGAACCCCGCAATAACATTGCTGTATAATTTTGATCTTGTACGCCTCTCTATAAAAAGAAAGCTTAATTTGAAAAAAATGTGACAGAACTTTCCCGCTAACCTAATGTTACGGCCTTGCCCTTTAGGCGTGCTTGCCCATTCAACTCTGTAGAGGCGTCTGTTATTTGCAGTCGACTCTGCGCACTCCCATTTCAAAAATGGTGAGTTTCGTGGCTCAAGTACTAACGACGAGATGGTAAGCACCTCAAAAGCGAAGATAAAACAAAAAAAACCCGTCCAAACCACCGCATATACAGTCCTCATCATTGCGGACTGTCGGAGGGCGGCTGTGCAACGCGGTCCAAATGGGCGTTCGGCCTCGTTGCTCTACCAATGGCGATCGGGTAAAGATCGATTTAGGGAGGGAGCAACCAATGATGGAAACGCCGCAGGTGAGCCGCTGATTGCGACCCGACAATTGCGGTGATGTAAGTGTAGAACCCCATGCTCAGTCACGCTTGCACGTGCATACTGAAAAGAATGGGCGTAGTCTAGTCGAACGAGTTCTCTCTTGTTAGTATCAGCTCTCTCTGCCTATCACATGGCTCTCATCATTCGAAGTGGACAGAGATAATAGCGGAATAACCTCCCCACCAGGATATCTTTGGACATGAATGTTGGGCGTTACCATGGCCAGTGGGCGGTGGCGTAGCTTCGTCGCGAGCGGGTCTTGCTTTACTCACGTGTTTTTGAGCTGCGGAAGTGGTACATCTTCCATGCTAGTATCCAAAGAAGACGTCTTTATGAAATCAGAGCGGAGCGTGCCTTTAAGGAGGTGATAAGTTGGTGGACTATGTGGAAAGATAATGCATGCCCTCCGTATTAGTCCTCGTTACTACTCATTCCCATTGTTATTTTTGAAGCTGATTTAATAACTTCTTTTTATTATTATTCATTGCTGCTATTTGTTGCTATTCTTGAGACGGTTTACTAATGGGCGGTAATTTAGAGAAAGAAAAGGTGTTGGCGACATTGGTGTTGGCGACATTGACGCCGTTCGTGAAAAGTGGAATCAGCTTCAGATGTTAATGAGTACTCCGGAAAAGCCCCAAATCTCCGAGAAAGAGTTGAAGAAAATGTGGGACGAAGTAGGGATAGTCAGGAACTTATACATCTGAAAAGTCATGAAACTGTGCCTTTCAGTTCTACATTGAAGCTCTTCGGATACCGAACATGTCTCATCCAGAAGCTCCACGAGGTGGCATGGAAAACGCTAAGGTTTGTTGAAGTGAAGCCCAACCATCTGATAGTGAGATTGTCAAATATATTTGATGTGGTCTGTTCAATATACCCGATACAGATCTTCGATGAAAATTTGACAGGTTTTTTTTACCTTTCGTCTGATCATTCGACTTCAGCGGTCTGAAAAACCAGTGATTTATTCGCCGAATTTAATTCCTCAGTTGTAGCTCAGCACATCCGATCGCAATCGGGATCGCGAAAGCACCAAAAAGGGTTTCGGTCGCTTCAGAACCAAATTCACCTGGAGTGCTAATGCAGCAGCGCGTTAAGTCGTACTTAAGAAGTACCCTGCTATTTTGTGAGCAATGCCTCGCTTCGAAGATCATAAACTCCATCCGGATCATCACAAATGTTCTATGAACATGGACTGTTGCGCTATAATTTGTGACAAATTTCAGCAGCTGATAGCAATTTTTCTAGGTGCTGGCAACATGGGGCGAAAAACGCGAAGGCCCTTGCGTAATGGCTGAGAAGCTGATCCAGTCATGGCGAACGTTATATTTCCCAACCGATGCCTCTGGAGAAAGAAGTTACGCGTTTGTAGGTAAGTTTTTCAAGCAAGTTTCGGTGTGAATCGAATTTGTTGAGCAATCTGTACTGGCGCGTTTGACGAGAGGAGGGAGGGGACGTTTTGTACTTTTGCTGCTTCCCAGTGTCGTATTCGTTGCTCTACAAGAGTTGACGGGCGTTCTTAAAAGAGCTGCCACACAGTTTCTGCGAACTTTAATCGACCTCAATTGACAACGCAAATCTCTATTTCATGACTCGCCAGAGCAGTAGGAAGGAGCGAAAGTGCTGAGTGCTTCTCTCCTTACCCCTCGCGTCGGAGTGCGCCTCTCATTTTAATACAAGGATTGCTGAGTTGTAGACAAAACGAGTGGCCTCCCGCGAACTCCAACCCTTGCACACGGTTACGGGGTAAACTGCTCATTCTCTATACTATCGAAACATCTGCAACGTTCCTTCAGCTTTTAGTGGTACATCTTCGATGGCTTGCCGAGTGCTTCTGTGACTGTGGGGTGTCCGATCTGCAAGTGTACCATCTCCCTCTGACCAATTATCAATAATCATTAACGCTGGAAGCTGGAAGACTGCGACATGAGATGAGCAATAGACAAGCATAAGTATCATTTGAGGTCCGGTGCGTTTCCCTGGCTTAGTATCCTTTTGGTAACAATTACGGTGCGAACTGCCAGAAACTGTGATGAATGGGTTGGAGTATCACCTTTCACGTGGCCTGCGTTCATACTTTGCGGCAGCGCGCAGTGTCTACGGGCGTTCACTAGCGCTTCGAGCGTCCGGTAGGAAAGCGGCTAGGAAAATATATATGTTGATCAAGCGTCCACCAGCGTCCGCCGGCGTCTACGAGCGGGAGAGGAGAGTATGACGCGATAGGAGGGTAGCAGACAGCTGGTAGAGTATGGGGAGATAGGAGGTGGCAGACTGCTGGTAGAGAGTATGGCGCGATAGGAGGGTAGCAGACACCTCAGAGTATGGGGAGATATGAGGCTGGCAGGCTGCCGGTAGAGAGTATGGCGCTACAGATGTTTACTAGCTGTCTGCTGTTTTTCTTTTGCGCCATACTCTCCTCTGTCGGACGTTGGCAGACGCTAGGTCGATACCTACATTCCAGCCGTTGAGACTCTGGCGGACGATGGTAGACGCTGACTGAACGCTAGATCGATAATTATACATTCCTTCTCGCTGACGCTGCCGGACACTGAAACGCTAGTGGACGCTGGTAGACGCTGGTGGACGCTGCCACAAACAATGAACGCAGCCCTACACGCTCTGCCTCCTGAATTTTCACTCTTCTTTTCCATTTTCATGTAACAACCAGTATACAGCGAGGCCAATAAGAAGGCATTTTGCTCTTATACGCCCTCGAACTTTTTTCGCACAGAATGACGGGGTGAATAAATAACGTGAACAATTGCCATAGAACGACCTCCGATTCCGTACCTTTAAGTTTCCTTGAACCAACGTGCCGCAGATCCGATGGCGCTTTACGATAAAGTCCAGTGTAAGGGTTGAGTCGTGAAAAATAGAGTATGGACTACAGCTGCGTTGCGCGGAAAGCTGAACGTTTTATCTCTTCCACCATTATAGCGACGCTCCCTAGGAATCCAAACAGCAGTGGCCCAACCGTAGAAACTGCGCAGCTGCTTCAGGCTGACGCGACTGGTGGAGGCAGTCTCGTACTTGATGGTGATTAGGAACGGCTTCACTTTGTCCTGACGTGAGGGTTCGAATGGAGTGCTTGCTTGTGCTTATAGAGAGACACCTCAGGAACATTAAGCCATGGGTTCTCATGTAGCTTGCCACCCTGTGCGACGTTGTCTTTATTGATCCACTCTTTTGACAGAGCGTTTCTTTTTTTATTGGTCTTTTACTGTCTTTTTTTCCACCCCTGTATGTTATACGCTACGCGATATAGTCGCGGAGCCTATTTGTGCTGATCTTGACAATAATAGCTGTTAAAGGTGTAATAATTTTGTCTCAGGTGCGCTAGCAAATTTGGAAAGAGTGTTGCTCGAATACGTATTCGACCGCGTATGCGCGCTGGGCTTCAAGCCGGTTTCTGTACCGGATCTTGTGACAAAAGAAATCACTGAAGCATGTGGCGTGACTCAGCGTTCGCAAAAGGATATACAGGTTCTGAACTGTATTCCATCACGGAGTTTTTGCTAGTACTTTTTTAAACATCTCGGCTTATATTCTAGTATTCTCTACAAAATGAGGAAAACGTCTCCCTCTCTGGTACAGCTGAAATGGGTATCTCTGCATTATTGAAGAATCGTACATTCGAAGAAGAGCAACTTCCGTTCCGATTAGTAGCAGTGACTAGGTAGCGACTTTTCTGGTTTTCCTTGGCCATTTTCACGAGCTTCCTAGCTAGCCTGACTAACAGAAAACGCTTTTATGATGGATGATTACGGAGATGATGGGTTCTTTCTGGGTCAGATGTTATTTGTTATAATTTCAGATGCTATCGTCCAGAAGTCAGCAACTCAGCCGCCGAGGCAAAGCTCTATCGAGTTCACGAGTTTACCAAGGTCCGTTCTGGCGCGGTGCGGTCCTTCTTCGAATATACCTGAATCTGTTCAGGTTGAAATGTACGTAGTGTGCACTCCGGAGCAGAGTGAAGGAGAACTGGATTATCTTGTGGATATTCAGAAAGGCACATTCGATTCTCTAGGCTTACACTGCAGGTATTGCGTTCATCATTTGTTCTGCCTTCTTTTAGAACATTGTGGGTATTTCAGACAAGTGGATATGCCAAGCGAAGAGCTGGGAGCACCAGCTGCACGAAAAGTGGACATAGAAGCGTGGATGCCTGGACGACAGCTCTTTGGAGAGGTGTCGTCTGCCAGTAACTGTACAGACTATCAATCAAGAAGGCTGGGTTAGTGTTTAATCTTACTTGTGACCCAATTTGCATTGGCTTGGACATCGGACCACCATAACAAGTGCCTTGAGGCTGTTTTGAATGTCACGAGGCATTCTTATAAGTAGAAATCGGGTAAATGAAAAATTAAGAACTCTTAGAGTATTCTTCAGGCATTCGGTATATTAATAAGGCCGGTGAGAAGAAATTCGTTCACACCTGCAATGGTACAGCAGTAGCATCGACAAGGACTCTTATCAGTATATTGGAGACTTTCCAAACGGTCAGTTCGGTGTGTTTCGTCATATCCACATTGCTCTAAATTTGTGCGTTTCAGGAAAAAAGAAGCATAGACCTGCTTCCAGATGTGCTCAGGAAACGATTGAAAACAGTGCGACCACCTCCATTGAAGTTCCAGCTAGCAAAGCCTTTAGCATAGTATCCATTGATGGTTTTAAGTTATATAAATGTCATAATTCGTCGTGCACTACATGGAAGATAACCGTGAATTCGGCATTCGAACGAAAACTGAAAGAGGCCCCATCGGTCAGATTCTCTTTCATTCTTGACTACGGTTGATCTCTCGAATCCTGGCTGTACCTCACAGTCGCTGAGAAATCGGGATTCATTTCTAACAGCTGTCCTCTAGATTGGCCTCTGTAGTCGTGAAGTGCCGTCAGTTGATGGTTTAGCCCCTTTGACATGGTTGATTTTTTTTCTCCATTGCTTTCTGAAAAGCTGAATAGTTCTGTTCCATATTAGGGAGGGTTGACCTTTAGTTTCGTTCGCTGCGGATGCTGGGGCGTGCCAGGGTGCTGGTTTTGGCGCGGCGCCAACCCGTTGTCCATTAATTGTTAAAGCGAGCGAGCGACATTAATTGGCGGAAAGGGTGGAGCGCGCGAGAAAAAAAAACCAGTCACTCGTCATTGTTATAGGTCATTATCTTTCACCAAGGGAAATGAGGGCTCGAAGGGCACATAGATTCCTTTTTTGGTCGAGAGGCGCGCTGTAACACACCAAATTAGGCCCTTTCGCCGTGGTGGCTGCTTTCTAGGCTTGGACGGAAAGTCTGCGACCAAACATTTTCGGACCAAATTTGTCTCCACTGAAAGACACCCAATCTAAGGTAACCGTAGGCGGCTAGTACTAGTGCCCTTCTTTTGCACAGCGTCTATATCCACTCTTGTTGTAGAACTACTTCAGCTACCATAAATAGAATAGGTCTACCTCATTTCGAGTAGACGTCGCTTTCCGCGACTTTCGCTTTCTAAAGATTGCGGAAGTCGGTCAAAGGAGGTATAGGGAAACGAGTTAAAAATAAGAAGAAGAGAAAGGCGGCCGCTGAGATATGAAGTGCTACACCGCGAAAGAGAGTGTAAGCTGGGTTACGGTTCGCATCTCTGAACAACATCCCATATCTTCTTGCACCCTGATCCCCAACATGCGGTTTTCGCATTGCCTGGTAGTTAGAAGCAAAATCAGAGTATTTGCTGCACAAAGCACCTCCGGAGAAAGGCGAAACACGGGCAAAAACACATGCGGACAGCATACTATATACCATATTTGAAGTCGTGTGAAGGTGACTATAAGACAACGACTAACACAACACAAAAACAGCCCGGACGCCAAACGCAAAAATAAGCGCAGTATCCAGTGATACCGCTTTGAAGTCCCACCAATAACACACTGAAATCTTTATCCCATGCACATCTGCTTTTGGCTAAGCAATCTACTTTTCTGTTTGAGAGATCCTGCGAGGGACATGTGCATGATGTACGCAAGGACTCCAACACTCGCTACCAACCACAAGATCTCACAAAAGTTCTTTCGCTGTGTACAAGGAAAAGAAAACTCAGTCACGGTCATTCGGTATGACTTGTCAGACGGGTCCAACTCATGAGGCATCCTTCACAAAAATTTTTTCCGATAACCGAGATTGCGGAGAAGCATGGCAGTTGTCAGTTAGGTGGAGCCTAGAGAGGTTGCCAACTTACTGGTGGTTACGTTCGGCTGCGCCTCAAGAAGCTTGAGTAAAGGGCCGTCATTCTGCTGTGGCCGACCTATACATTGCCTACTCCGAATTAAATAAGTCCAGCTTGGAAGCGCTGATGCAAAAGCTACCCTCTGCCATGGCAAGCGATATCCTTCCTCAAGACAACGTAGGTGTTAGCTTCCTCGACTACGGCTGAGTGGCCCTACAGGAACTCATAATATGGGATAGGTCGAAAAGTACCTCGATCTCTGAGGGACTTTTAAGCTTTGAAAACTTCCACAAAGTCATGATATACCCATTTGCAGAAACCCCAGAGGACAGTCTCCACTAATCAGGGATGAAAACATTCGAAATGTTTTTTGGTCTTTTTCTAGAACAATTCAATCAAAGTGTCGCAGGACTTTCCGTCCAACCAAATATTATACTGTCACCATTCACGAGGCGAGTGAATATTGCGCTCGTATTCTTTGTATCAAGAGCTAGAACAGGTACAGGTAGGAATTGCTGGCGGTGGCGGTAATCTGAATGCGGAGCTAATGATTGTATTGAAGTGGAAGAACTGTTTCACTTTGTCAAGAGTTTTTGAGCGCGCACTTCGCCACGAAGTACAGCACATTTCACTTGCTCACGGGCCTGGTTTCGTTTTTACCATACATTTTCACCCTGTACGCTTAGCTCAATTGTTGTATTCACTGCCAGTAGAGACAAATTGTACTCTCACCTCTGAGAACTGTCCTCGTATGTACGAGGTAAGTCCCATATGTAGAAGGATGCCAATTTCTCCGCTCAAAAGTGCACGAGAACGGGTCTGGATGGTAGCGATACTCGGAGCTGTCTCTCCACCCTCTCGCGCTATCGTCAAAGTGCAGCATTTACAGTCCTCTTCATTGCAGACCGGTGGGGCGGCTGAGCCGCGCTGCGCGTGACGCGGCTGTGACGCGATCACAGCCGCGCCACTGGTCTGCAATGAAGAGGACTGTACGTCCATACGGAAATCCTGCAGCGGACACGCAGTCAAAATAAAGAACAACGAACCGAGGGCGCAGACAGTAACGCCTTTCGCGTGCAGGTGGCCGTGGAGCAGCGCGGGCGGGGTCGGGGTTGGAACTTGGTTATTACTACCCTTCAACCTCGCTCCCGTGCACTTTTAGCACAAAAACTAATGCGGAAAGGTACGCTTTTTGTAGGGGAGGACCCTTTCACCGCGACAAAGGCAACGGCTAGGATGTACGAGAATGAGTGCTCAGTTGTCCTTGAAGTAGAAAATTCATGAATCTGGCTGGCTGGCATAATCTGACAATACTTACCATGCAACAAGTGCCCCGAATCTGTTAACGGCTTATTCCGATCGCTGATCGCAGGCTGTGCGGTCCAAAAGTAGATGTACGGGTGCTTCTAAACCCACCAGTGATGAAGAGAACAGACAAAGGACGCCCTCAATAAGTCCCTCCTTGCTGTTTATCGCGATCACTTGACGAGCCTTAGCTAGAAAATAAGTAAAAAACGACGAGCAAGACAACGGCATAACGGCCTTCACAAGGGCAATTCAGGCCACAGGGCCTAACCGACAACTCGCATTTCCTCTTACATACTCCTTTGATTACCCTGGAACCCAGATTACCTTGTAGGGGAGTGAGTCGGAACTTTCGCTAATTGCAGCATGTGTCTTTGGGGCACTTGCTACCTTTGCTTCCAAAATTCCAGGTGTTTGTGTATTTTTGTTTTTTCATCTTGGATGAAGGAATATTTCTGGAATACTGCTTATATTGCTGACACAAACCAGTGTGATATTAAAGATTTATAGCTTTGACTCCATTAAAGTGCTCTTGAGAAACATCACACTGAGCACTGATCGATTTGCTCCTTTTATCTGAATTAGAGGTCGACCTTGACGATCTTTCCAGTGTGAGTGAGGTATCGACCGTAGCTCGAAGAAGCCAAATGGAGTGTTCAGCTGAAATTTGTACATCGCTTTGACATACTGGCATTATCTAGAGTTGCTTGGAATGGATAGCGAGGCCAAAAGTGTCTGTAGAGAAGTGCTCATTAGAACCTGCCGCTTTTGTTTCTTAATTTACGGAACTGCGAGACAAGACAACGTGCTGAGGAGAAAAGTTTGTTCCCTGTTCTTCTCCTGAACTGATGGTTGAGAATTCAATGTTGCGATCGCGTGCACAAATGGAACTCCACACACTCTCCACACCTTTGACGGACGTGGCTGCGCACTTGATCTGAACACGGTGCAAGATGGTTATTTGTTGGATATTCCAGTTTCAGACAGCTGCCATCCTATCTTGTACTGGACATGACTACAGTTGTCTCGAACGGAGATACCTCACAAAAAGCGCAGCAGCCGCTCCATTCAAGGTGATGTGTACGAAGCCACGCCTACTGCACCTCAGGACTATAGAGTATACCTGAGACGCGGTCTGCGTGACAGCGCACTTCACCTGGTAAAATGCAAAATTTTTGGTGAGGGTCTTGCCGAGAAAGGCCACAGCGCAGAGCAATAAATAGCCACGACGCCAAGGCAACGTGAGGTACAGAAAACATGACGCGAGCCAGGAGATGAGTTTTTCGAAGGGAGGGGACACCGGGGTGGATGAGCCACTTACATGTGTTAGTATGTGTGTGTTGTGCGTGTTAGTATGCGCGAAAAGATGGAGTGTGAAAGGTCAGAGTGGTCACAAGCGGCAAGAGAACGCAGACAAAACAGTTGGCGCCACTAAAGAAATTGGGTTCTAACTGTGCGTAGACCGGAACCCAGTTGCCTAACACCTCATGCCACATACACTCCTCTGCCCCACGAGTGGAGAGTCCGTTTGCAGTTTCCGAACAGTTGCAACCACGATTTTGTTCAGAATAAGCTAGGACCTCACTTGTG